AGTTTCCAGGTCAGAAAAATGACCCTTCCTGGCTCTTGTTTTACCTATGGGTCTCCAAGTTCAGTCCTTTAAGAAGCTCACATTCTACCCTCTGAGTCTGACTTCATTTTTCATGAAAGTTGGCAAGTTTTTAGCTGAGTAGTTTAATCTGAATGCTTTTTGTCAGTAGAAATTTGATAGCCAAAGTTGTTATGTCATATTCTTTATGTTAGTTTTATTCTAAGCTGGAAGGATTTCTGCTGACATTAAATTATACAGAAACTGGTAGGGTTGCGTGGATTCAACAGGAAGTCATGCATTAGAACAAAAGGCCCTTCTACAGCTCATTCTGAGATAATCCCTTCTCTGCTTTTTGACTTTGCTGAGAAGGTGAAGGACAGTATCTTTAAAATGCCTAGAGAGCCTCTGAATTGATTGAAGGGATCTGTGGGTCATACCATTAATGCCTTTGAAGAGCCTTTGTGTGACTGAATACTCTGACCTACTGATCTTTCTGATATGCTAACAAAACACCAGATAACCACACTCTGCTTTTTATCTATGTCACACTTTCTGAAGCAAAACAAAACAAACAAAATTGAAATGTCTTCATTTTGATGTCTTTTTTCATTTGGGTACACAGAATTTCTCAAATCATCAAGTTAAGTTTTGCTCTTGTTTAACAATTCTGTTTATTTCCTCTTTTTGACATTTACCATAGCAGCATCTTCAAATTTTCTAAAGTCTTCTGAACTGAATATCCAGTGCTTGGAATCTCTGCTCTCCATGTAACTACAGGGCATAATTTTGCTAAGGATTCTGAAACTATATAATGAAGATCTAATTTCCTGCAACTTATTTTTTTAATTTTCATCACAGCCTTGCTTGCAAGACTCCTGCATCCATATTTCTTCTTGGAGTCCATTCAAAGCAATCTGAGCTTCCACTATTTTACTTCTGAAAGTTCTTCCATCTTACTTACACTATCCCACTACAAAGCTTCATGCATGTTTTTAGGCATATGTTACAGCAACACCTTGTCATGTGAATGAATGTAGGTGAAATTCTCACATATACACCCATTTCCTGATAAGCAAGCATTCCATTGAGAATTCTTCAGTGGGAGGATTAACAAAGAATTGATGACATTTTTAATCTTCAACTTTGTTTATAATGAAAAATAATTTTGCAAAGAAGAGCATTTAGGCCAACTTAGGAAAAAAAAAAAGCCTAATTTCAAATAATTAATACATTTTAATAGACTTGTTTGATCTAAATTAAGATTGATATTTTAAAATAGAAATGTATTAAAGCAGGCTGAAATGTACCACCTTTACCTGTAGTTTGACAATAAATTGTTTATTACTGATTGCAGTTAAAATGAATTAAAAAATATTTTTAAAGAAAAACTATGACAGGGGCCAGCAGGTGGCAGAGAGTTTAAGGTGCTGGACTCCCACATTACTGACTGCAGTTTGAGCCCCAGACCTGAAGGCTTGAAACTCATGCAGGGTGTGTGTGCGTGCATGCCCAAAATCCTGAGAGGAAAAAGGAGAAGTGATTGCAGCTTCGGCATGGCCCATATGGGGTGATTTCTCACTTTCTCATTCTCTGTCTGTCCATGTTCTATAGCAAAATTATCTTTCTCAAAAGAAGAGAAAAGCAAAAAAAAAAAAAAAAAAAAAAAATAGAGAAAGAGAGAAAAGCTATAACTTACTTAAATTTGGGTATTATTAATTTAGATTAGATTTCCCTCAAGTAAACATTAATTATTGTCATTTGGGGCTTATACAGGTTTGTTTTTTCTCAACTTATTGAAGGTCACAAAAGGTCTCAAAAATTGCAGGTGTCATCATAGTTGAGGTGTTGGACTCCCACATGACCAACTGCAGTTCCAGTTCCAGACCTGGTTGCTTGCTCTCTTTATCTCTCTGGTGAGCATATGTGCCCTATAGCAAATTAAAAATAATAACAAATAAAATAAATTTTAAAATATTCGAGTTATTTATTTAACTAGTTATTTACATAAACTTAAGAGAGCTAGAGAAAAGAAATAATATTTTGTTAAAGACCTCACATTGATAACCAAAAATATAATAAATGCTATCTAGTGGAGAATATTGGAAGATATGTTACTTAACATCTCTTCTTTCCATAAAAAGGAACTAAAGATCGAGGTTTTGTTCAAATGATAGTTCAATGCCATTCTTTTTCCCAGGGAAAACAGATTTAGAATATGAGTTCTGAAATCAAGCATTTATGAAAGTTTGGTAATAACCTAATTCAAAAACTTGAAAGATAAAAATCCATGGTATTTTTTAGCAGTGATTCTTGCAAAGCTTATTTTTATTACTGGAAATTTAAAAACTGTGAAGAAATATTTGTCAAAGTAGTGTCAGCTAAGATTCAGACATATCTTACATGTGTAGATATGTAAACTTAAGGGTTAAAAAGAGATTATGGAATAATGTATTTGAGAAACAGATTTAAAAGTTGTTAGTGGGTTCAAGTGAGTTTGACCTTTTAATTCAATTACAACTTAGTATAACATGTTACATAATCACTTTTGATAATTCCTTTTTTTTAATTCAAGTCTTTTTATTATTATTATTATTATTATTATTTGTTTTATTTTTGCCAAAGGGCATATGTACGTGCCAAAGACAGACAGATTCTGAGAGAAGAAAGGCAAGAAATCACCCCACTCCCACCCCAAAACAAGATGGCTACTCCACGATTCCTTCTCATCCTTCTCCTGGGATTTTGGGCATGCACTCACATGTGCCCTGTGTGATTTTCAAGCCAGTAGGTCCATTACTCGAACTGCTGTCAGCCATGTGAAAGTCTAACCACCATAACCATCACACCACCTACTGGACCCCTAAGTTCAAGTCTTATATAAAAGTTTAAAATGGAAATAACTAGGAAAAAATGCAATAATTTGTTAGCAGTTTCAGGGGGGAGACTCTGAGAATGCTACTAATGCTCTGTAAGTTCACCCAAACTCATCAGTAAACAACCTGACATCAGTGCCTCACATCTTTTTCCAACTCCCTGCACCTCTGTTTGACCCACCCTTTGGAGGATGAAAGAACCTTGTGAAACAAATATTTTATAGTTGATTCAGACAGACAGGAAAGCTCTAAACTGTTGGTACTTTTGGAATGTATACACTTGAGGAACACTGATATTAGTCATCAGCATGCACAGAAGAGAAGCTTAATGCTATTTACATTCCAATATGCCATAGGCAAATATTATGTTAGTCTTCTTTTGGGAGAATCTTTTGGCCTTTAAAACTCACTTATTTCACTTTTCCCTATTGTTATTAAGCTGTATGGAAATTTTTAAAAGCCTTGGAAAAAAATAAAAGAGGTAGATTAGAAAAAATCTTTACGTTTGTGACCATCCACAGTGAATTAGAAAGGAGAAGAAAACCTTATTTCTAAATAACAAGAGGTATAATGGGAAAGGAAATAAAGAGAAACATTCTAGAGATTCATATGAGACTAAGTTGATCAGTACATGGTGATGACGTGGAGGTTTACAATTAGCAAAGCTCTGTACTTCCAAATTCTCTGTCTTCTACTCCTGGTGCACTTGTTTCAAACAAGAACGCCAGCAAACTGTAAGATAACCAACGTCCAACATTAGTGACTGGCTAGCAAGGACAGAAAAAGGAAATACGTTTTCCTAATTATAATGTTGGGCTTGTCAATGTATTTTTTGAGAAACTTGATAGTTAATCTCTGTAAGATTTAATATTATTGATTAGGTATATAGAGTCAGACTACTTGATCCTCAGGAGAGCACTTTCGGCACATTCTAACTCTGTGATGTGAACAAGTGCGTATCTAAGATTCAGTTTTCTCCTTTATGGAACTAAGATAATAATAGCACCCTTTTCTTAGAATCACCATGAGGATTGAGAGAGATAACTGCTATTAAGAGTTTTATCAGAGACTGCCATGTATTAAGAACTTGATATATGTAGTTATTAGCATTTACCTCAGATGTCTTTTACTGCCTAGAAATTTTCAGACACTTGTAGCCATTTAAAACACAATTGAGCTTTTAGAATGTGACAGTTTATACAAAGTATAGTGTTTTCATTCTTATATTGTATTAGATATTTTAGAGATTTGAGAAGAAATGGTAATTCTGCATTGTAGAAGATTTTCGCAACCATCGCATATTAAGTATGTCACAGAATCGTGATAATAAGGTGACACACCGATAGGTCGGGTTATATCCCCACTTGACCACATAGAGTGGAGGAGGCAGCTAACATGCTGAGTACAGCCATTACACGTGATCATTCAGCTAGTAATTGGCACAATATCTCATGATAAACTTCCAGGGCTTAACTAATAAAAAGGTTGATTGATTGTCACAGTTCTTAAAACTGTATAATCTTTTCACAGACCAGTAAAAAACAACAAGAAAAAAACTAGTAATAGAAATTCCTTCAGAGAGAACTTTTTTGTTTTACTGTCTTCGATAGATTTCAATACAGAAACAGCTAATTTAAGTCTTAGAGGTCAGTCAGCAGCTACTTTATGCAACTTTATCAAGGCAAAGTCAAAAGGTGGGCTAACAAGGGACAGGTCAGCATCACTGATGAAGGCAATGCAGCGCTATTAATGACTTCTCACTGTCCACTCACTGATTTAGGAAACTGTCTAAAGGGTTAGAATTATTGTGTACTATGTGTAGTAGGAACAACTGTTAATAGCTGGCAGACTGAGGTGCAAGTGATTTGCACAAGGTCACTCAGCTAGTCTCAGCAAATTTGTCTATCATTCACTAGTTAAGTGATCCTTGCTTTCTTCATGAGATCATTGCTTCAGATAATGACACGTGGTTACACAATGGTGTTGAGTGTATGATAAATTAATTTGTCTTAAAGGTACTTTCACATTCTTCTGGCACCTCAACTGAAATGTGTCAACATATTCATTTGTGGGAGAAGGATCAGTACATTTTCTGACATCAGAGAGAATGTCTTTGTTACCTTTTTTAAAGGCATCTGGACCAAATATCACCAATTGCCCAACTACCAAAACGTTATCCTTCTAAAATCTCTTGATATCGATTCCACAAAAGAACAATCAAGTTGTCCTCTGTGTACCTCTCATGGCAGAAGCCCTTTCTTTTTTGGCAATGTTTAGCTTTCATTTTGCTTTAGTTTTCACACAATGAAATCCCTCCAGTGACTAGATACATGGAGAAAGGGAAAAAAATGTATGATCAAATCACATCACTTCATTTTGACATTTCATAATGACTTACAGACTAGTTTATGGTATAGATTAGTTACATTCAGCAGAATTTTTGTGAAAAGGTATACTTAAATCAAGAAAGTAAATATGCGTTTCTATACTTCTACTTTTTATAACAGTATCTCTTTTTAGAAAGCTATTTCTATGTTCATGTACTGCATTTGTTTTTTGTATCCTAAAATTGTTTTTATGTTACAACTTCCTTATTAGAATAAAATATATTGCTATGAGAAAAGTACCTTCTTCAATTTTATTTCCCTTTAGCAAATAAAATGCTTTCAATGCAATCAGAAAGTCAAATGACTTCTGGAACTAAACTGCTGGCAGGTTAAATAATTTCATTTTAGCAGAGTACCTCAGTATCTTTTATATGTAGTCCATACCTGAGCCCCAATGTTTTCATAAGATTACCTGATAACTGTTATCTACTGAATATCTCATTGCATTAACAATGCCAACATATTTATAACTACTCAATATTTACATGTCATTCCTGAATAGAAGGGTACTTTTAAAAGTTTGTGGAAAAGTGGCATTAAAGTGTTAGTTTATTTTGATACAAAAAATTAAAATCCATGAATAATTGCTTCATAATATTCATTTTTCAAGAACATTTTGAAGGCTCTTCAGCAATTAATCATATTATCCTAGACACTGTAGTTTAAAATGTGGGAGAATACTCTTTGTTTTGACTTCCACTGTAGTCATTTAGTACTAAATTTTTCATTTATTCATTCACTAATTCAGTCATTAGTTTTTTCATTCTTCAGCTACGTATCTGAGTGACTGCTGTAGGCTAGAGTTAGCACCATATGCAAACACCATGTTATAGGGATATGCATGGTACCTTAAGGAAGTAAAAATAAAACAAAGTTGATTAGATTCAGAACTAGAGGAGAAAAAAACCTATGGTGAATTATTAATAAAGCTTGAATTGTTAGTCAGGGCTCTGCCTTCCAGAGAATTATAGGTTATATTAAATGCTCCATAGTATTTGTTGGTGGATTTGTTTTATATTTTATAGCAACACGAAGTCTTTACTGTATTTTAGGTAAAGGTCTTGGGGCAATAATTAAGTTATATCATCCAAATATGGATACTTACACTTTCCAAGTCTATAACTGGGCATGCGTAATTAAGTAATCAAATTCCTTACCCAAGACGGAGGTGTACAAGCACAGACGAAGTCCACGAAATCTGAACAAAATAATTTGCTACTATTATAAACCTCCCCTACTAAATACTCATTACCAAATTTCATATTAAAAGTAACATCCAATTCTTTCCAAAGCAAGACAGTTGTTACCTTAGCAACCTGCCCACCCAAAAGTCTCTGGGGGTATTTTTCTTTTAACCGAAGATCAGACTGGCTGCTCGAAACTCTCTTCTTTTTTAAATAAACTCCACTTTGCTATCCCCTTTGTTCACCTGCACCATTCTGATTCTTCAGAAGCGTGAGACAAAGAACCAGGTTCACTGCTGTTCCTGTATCGCGTATTGGATTCACACACCTCAAAATCCCACATTATAACGGCATAGGTATAGGCTAGTGACAGCAGTGAATCTCAGTAACAGTGATCAATTACAGAGGGTTAGAATAAAACACATACCAAAAGGTATTTTATAACGTTTTTTGCTCTTAGATACTTGTGTTGTTTTCAGATTTCTCCTAATGTAACCTTAATGCTGAGTAAATTCTGTCTCTATAAAAATCTTCGACAACTCCTCTGATTACTTTCTTAATCTATAAGTTAAATTATAAGTAAAAGAAAATTGATATTTTTAAATACACGTTGGCAAATTCTATGTGTTTTTCAGTAAAAGTATGATAAAGTGCAAACCCTTTAACTAAGAAGTTATTTGACAATATAGACATTTTTCTGTTTTGCCAAATTTTAAAACTTTGCCAAGTTTACTGGTTAAACAAATAATTATTTTAACATACATATATAAAAATATTTTGGAAACTCTTTTCTTCTTGAATTATATTTAAAATATTAACCAAACATCTTTCTTAGTTTTGCAATCTTTTTCTAGAAGCTCACCTGTCTTTCAATTATGTATATTACTTTTACTATGTGTTTGTCAATTCCTAATTCAAATCTCGTTATTCAATGAAGGTTAACTGCCTTTACTACTCTGTGTCATGATATAACTGACCCTCTTACCATCCCCTTTTTCCCTATACCACCTGCTATCATCCAAAATACTGCAATTATTTATATAATGATATGCATATTAATTAGTATATGTCTTTCTCTCTCCACTTCTACCAGAATATAGCTTCCTTAAAGGCAATTATTATTGTGTAGTTTACTCACTGATGCTCTCAAACATTTATAACAACACATAAATGTCAATAGATCAATATTTGTTAGATAGGTGTTAAATTTGTATATTTTAAATCTTGGTTCGGTGACCTTTTTTACAGCATGTATCAGTAGAACATCTCTATCTATGAATCTAATAAATATTAGCTGTATTTTAATTATTGTAGCCATATATAATTTTTTCAATTTCATTAGGGTATACAATTTTTTTAAAGAATTATTTCTTTTATTTTATTTGCTATTATTTTTTATATTTTAATTTAACCAGAGAGAAAGAAAAAGTGAGAAAGCAAATCACCAGATCCAGAACTCAGATCCCACTCAACTGCGTGGGAGTTCAACAACTTACCACTGTGCCAACTGCCAGCCTGGACAATTTTCTTATTCTTTTAAGCTTTTCTTGTTTATTCATCTTGTTAGCCTTTAAACGAGATTTTTCTATATTAATACAAAAATCTCTTGAAGTTGGAGTAAATGAAATTATATATATATATATATATATTTTTTTTTTTTTTAAGAGAGATTTTTGTTGTAGGGTATATGTACTCACCAGAGGGACAGAGCGAGACAGAGAGACAGGAAGCAAAAGTCACCCCCCGGGGTAAGGACCATGCCAGAGTCTCTTTTCCTCTATCTTCTTCTTGAGATTTTGAGCATGTACATGCACATGCCTGTCATGTTTTAAGCCGCCGGGTCCAGGGCTCGAACCAAAGTCATTGTGTAGAAGTCCAGCGATGTAATCTTTATGCAATCTGCTGGTCCAAATTTAAGAAGTTTTAACACCAGAATTTTTGAGAGTGGAACAAAGCATCTGTCTTAGACCATAATCGCATGGGATTGCAGCATGGCCATCCTAGCTAGAGGTGATTTCTCACTCTTTCTCATTATCTCTGTGTCTCTCTCTGGTAAGTGTACATTCCCTAAGGCAAAAACATCTACAAAAACAAAAAAAGAAAGAAAGAAAGAAATGCATTTCCATCATTCTTAAAGTAAAAATCTGTTAGCATGACCTATGGGCGCTTGGTTCAGTGTTATCTACCTCTGACTCCTTCATTCTCCTATAATACTATTGTCTCATTTGATAACTACTCCCTAAACAAATTGTTCTCTTGTATTGTTTATTTTTTATTATTTTTATTAAAAAAAATGTTGAGAGATTTTTCTATAGGGCACATGGGCTTGCCAGAGAGACAGAAAGACAGAAAGTGAGAAATCACCACCCAGGGGGAATGACCACGTCACAATCCCTTCTCCATTATCCTCTCATGACTTTGGGCATGCACACACACAAGCCCAGTGTGAGTTTCTAGCCTCTGGTCCTGGACTCAAACCATGGTTGGCCACATGGGAATCCAGCGCCCCAACCACTATGCTACCTGCTGACCCCTCTTATATTGTCTCTTATGCATGCCAAGCCCTTTCACACCTCAGGACCTTTATTATAGTTCTTATCATCAATACTATCTCTAATGTCCTCTCTTTAGAGAGGCTTTTCCAGCATCACACCAGAAGCAGCCCATCTCCCCGTCCTCTAGTTACTAATTCTCCATCAGTTATACCTTGATATATCCTTCATCGCACTGATCATAATCTGATATGAACAGACTGTATGAAATCAAATAAATTATTTGGACACACTATTTAATATAACAGTGACTGATGACTTAACAAATATTCTAGTGATATAATTTCAGAACTGTTTTGGTTTATTTTTAAATCTGTTCATTTCAGTGTTAATATTAGACAACTAATATGATATAGTATTCAATTCCAGTTTTTCTCTTCCTGGGTGACTTTCTGTATCTATTCCTTGTGTCAGAGAGTTTATGCTTAATTCAAACTCATCAAGATAGGAATTAAAATTGTCAGACAGAGCTCTCACATCAGCCTTCCTTTTGGTTGCACAAAAGGATACAAGGTTAAGTGTCCATGTGTCTGATGTCCTTTCTCCTTATACAAGCAATGATGGCCAAGTGAGGGAGCAATGTATAATACTTTTCAGGACTTCCACTCTGCCGGCTGAGAGCCACAGAAAGGACAGTTACCTGTAGGCAGTCGAATAGAATACAGGTTATATTCCCTGCCGACATATGTCCAGTTAAGAGCATAATCCAGTGAAGAGTTTAACTAGATACAAAAGTTATTAGGTCAATACAAATACATAATAAAATACAAAAGAATACATCTTGCCCTTATTACAAACTTGAGGAAAACTTTGAGTCTTTAGTCAAGTGAGGAATAAATAAGTCATTAGAGTTTTCAGTTGCTTTGACCGTGATACCTAGCTGGATATATATTTCTTGGATTTCATGAAAAGTAATTTTTAAAAAACAACAATCAGGTCATGCTTGCTGATTGTGAATTAAGTTGCATTTTTCTTCAGTGTAGGTGTTAAATTCTGCAGAGTATCTTTATAAGCCACAAGAGAATCCGTGAACTTTTTGAGCAAATACTCTTATCCTTTGTCTTGTTAAGGACTACAAGTGATTTACCCAAGTGGCAATTCAATCACTGAAGTAGACGGTACTAGAATGGGTATAGA